GGGGGGGGGGGGGGGGAATGGGACACATCTGTTCCACATGTTGGGCCTCTCCACGTGTTGGGAGACGCCTTCAGATCCTGTTCCAATAAAGGCTCTTGGGATTGACAGGATCTGTTTTTAAAAGCAGGCTGCCAAATTCAAGGAAGGATCCCTTTTAAATAAGCCTCGGCATTTTTAAACGGATTGCCTTATTCAGCCAGTCCATGGTCTTACCCAAAGGAAGAAACAGCAGCAGAAAACACGACGGAAAAAGTCTTCACGAGGGACGAGTGCGTTGGTTAGTGTCTATATGACCTTGATATGTTTTTTTTTAAATATTGTTTTTCCGACTTAGTAGCCATTCACCCATACTGGAGATGGGCAGCCACATAAATTTAAAGGATGGATGGATGGATGGATGGATGGATGGATGGATGGATGGATGGATGGATGGATGGATGATAGATGATATAGATCGGGGTCCCCAAACTTGGCAACTTTAAGACTTTGTGGACTTCAACTCCCAGAATTCTCCAGCTAGCTGGCTGAGAATTCTGGGAGTTGAAGTCCATAAGTCTTGAAGTTGCCAAGTTTGGGGACCTCTAATATAGATGATAGCTGGATGGATGGACGATGGATGGATGGATGGATGGATGGACAGATAGACAGATTTAACTCTCAAATCCCAGGGTCTTCAAACTTGGCAAGATTAAGACTTGTGGACTTCAACTCCCAGAATTCCTGAGCTAACATGACTGGAGGAGGAATTCTGGGAGTTGAAGTCCACAAGTCTTAAAGCTGCCAAGTTTGAAGACCCGCTGCTCCAGTCTCCAGGTGGAAAGATCCTTTCCCTTACCTGTCCTTGTTCCTGCTTTTTCGTCTCCCTCTTCGTCGTGGCCAAGGTCAAACCCTGCCTTCTCCCCGGAAGGGGTGCTGCCCGACTCACTCTTGGCACTGTTGATAGGGCTAGGAGAGGTGAGGCTGTGGGGCAGAGGCACAAAACAGACAGTCATGGGGGTGGGTGGGCGCCAATTCTGCTTGAATATATCGTTTTCCTGGATCTTCCAAGAGATCCTCCTGCCCGCTTCTTCCGAGGGGCTCAGACCTGTCAGTCAAGCCCCCTCCTCCCAGGCCTACCCTTTGCTGGATTAGCAAAGCCGTTTCTGATCCTATCTCTACTTTCTCATTGTACACAGAGAGAGAGAGGAAGAGAGAGAGAGGAAGAGAGAGAGAGGAAGAGAGAGACAGGAAGAGAGAGAGAGGAAGAGAGGGGGAGAGAGGGAGAGAAAGAGAAAGAGAAAGAGAAAGCGAGGGACAGAGGGAGAGAGAGAGAGAAGGAGAAAGGGGGAGGAGAGAGAGGGAGAGACAGAGGGAGAAAAAGACAGGAGAGGGGAAAAGGGATAGAGGGAGGGGGAGGGGAAGAGAAAGAGGAGGAGAGAGGGAAAGAGGGAGAGGGGAAGAAGGAGAGGGAGAAAGGGAGAGAGGAAGAGAAAGAGAGAAGGAGAGGGGGAAAGAGGGAAAGAGAGGCAGAGAGGAAAAGGAAGAGAGAGGGAGAAGAAGGGAGGGAGGGAGGGAGGGAGAGAGAAAGGAGAGGGGGGGGGAGAGACAGTATTTTCAGGGGCTCCCTCCAGAGAGGAGCATCCCACCCTGACCCCTCTTCTCCCCACACACCCGAGGAGATTCTCCCAGCCGGCATCTCCCAGACAACAGGGAAAGGCATCCAAAGGCACTGACCCATTTAATGCATCCCCAAAGAATTCCCCCTTGCAAGTGTGAGCAAGAATTAACGTGCCATTTTCCCAGACAGAGCGAGCAACAAAGGTACCCGGGACAAAAGGAAAATAAAGGGGAGAAAAAGGGGATTAGCCGGATGAGGGAGACCAGGAAACAAAGATGGAGCCCCTTCCCCAGCTCACTGTCCCGGCCTTCCCGAGAGGGACGAGCCTCGGGTCCCACGGCCGAGCCTGGGTGGGAGTGGGTGTCGCCCGTGGGCCTCCTAGCGCACACGAGGACAATATATACCAAGCGCCTCACACACAGCCCCTGGGGGGTGAGGAGGGTCAGTCAGTTTTGGGGGACGCCCCATTCTGAACAAAAAAGCGACGTGCTTTTCCGGGTTCAAATCCCGCCATTCGGAAAGTTATCTCTTCTGCAACTCAGCCACTTCCCGTGGTTTACACCCAGTTTCCCACGCTGTTAGTACGCCACGCCACGGTCTCGCCCTTTGCACACCGACTGTGATGACCCAAAGGCCACACAGTCAGATAATTAGTAGGAGTCCTTTTATTAGCTCCAACATTGCCCCCAATGTCCTGGTTACCTTCTGGCTGGAGAAAAACTCTCCCAGGAACAACCTTTGACTGCAGAGAATTAAGTCCAAAACATGGTCAACACAAACTGTAACTTAAGTCCAATCAAGGCAAAATGAGGTCATTAGTTCGGCAGGGCAGGAGCAAGAATTCCAGATGTGAAGGCACGGCAATAACACAACACGGTTGGGAAGATGTCAGGAACACAGATAAGCCACAACGTTACAAGATAAAGTCACTTTTGCTCCCAACAGCTGCCGCAGTCAGCATTCAGTTCTTATAAACTTTCATTCCCAGGTGTGGCAAATGAAGGGAATCAGGGCCCTTTCCTCCCCCATAAGCCACGCAACCCACATTGCTCCCTTCTCCGTTCCTCCCTGCGTGCCCTAGGGTGAAGAGGGGGTGGGCCTAGGTCTTCCTCTGAACTCCCTCTCCCTTGTTCTACCTCTCCCCTGCTCTGCCCAACCGGACTTTGCCCTTCCCCAGTTTCCTCCACAGCCAACGGAGCCACATTCCCACTCCCTGTCAGCTGTTTGTCTCCCTCCTCGGACTCCGACGGAAGCATGACACTGAGCCCTGGAGATTCCCCCTTCCTGCAGGCTGGCAATCTCAGTGCAACAGGAACTAAGAAGCTCTGGGTGCAAATCAAACCCACAACCCCGCCCCTTTGATCTTAGGGATTCTCAAAAGTACACCTGACACCCAGGTCAATGGCACCTTCCCTTAAAGGAGCAAGAGGCGCTATGCAGGTGGGTTTTCACACTCGGTGGCAGCAGAGTAAGGTTCGTTCTAAACTAATTTATAATTTACACCAATCAAGGAGAGACGCAACCTGGAATCAAGAAGAAGCTTCCTAACAGGGAGGAACGATTAACCGGTGGAACGGCTTGCCACCAGAAGTTGTGGGTGCTCCATCACTGGAGGGTTTTTTAAAGAAGAGGTCGGGCAGCCATTTATCTGACATGGTAGAGGGTCTCCTGCTTGAACAGGGGGCTGGACTAGAAGACCTCCAAGGTCCCTTCCAGCTCTATTCAGATTAATGCTAGGAGAGGCAAACACCTGGAAGATTTTGTTTCTGCGACAACGCCAGGGCAATGTCCCCTAGTCCAGGGGTCTCCGACCTTGACAACTTTAAGATTTGTGGACTTCAACTCCCAGAGTCCTGGGAGTTGAAGTCCACAAGTCTTCAAATGGCCACAGTTGGCTGAGGAATTCTGGGAGTTGAAGTCCACACGTCTTAAAGTCGCCAAGGTTGGAGACCCCTAGACTAGTCTAAGAGGACCCAGATTTTCAAAAGGCCACCACTCTCCCCCCCCCCCCACAGTTCTGCATTCATGAGGAAAGAAACAATCAAGGATTGTATGCAACCTTCATCCCCGCCCAACCCGCTGCCTTCTCTTGCAGCCACAGCGATCCAGGTGGGGATGAGGCTTCCACCAGGTGACCACACCAAGCCAAGGAAGCCAACGACCAAGGAGTCCTCCAAGGGCAGGACTGGCATCGTGCGTCCCCAGAAACCCCCCTTCTCCTCCAAGTAGGGTCCACGCCAATTGCCCCCCAGAGAGAATTCCCAACAAGGCTTCAAAACCCACCTTTCGCCCCGAGACTAGAGAAGCAGGTGCCACCTCTGGCCACTTGACCAGGTGCCACTTCGGACAGCATCACCACCGACCACTGACCTCCCCCAAGCCCCCCTCCCTCCAGAAGCTCATAAACCCTTCCACGCATCCCTCTCCACTCCCCAGGCCACTAAATTCCCGTGGAGAAGGCAAAGCATCGGGGTCTCGATGGGGAGGTGAGTGGGGGGGAGGCCAGAAGCTTTTGCAATTTATGCCTTGGAGGGAAGAGAATGAATTCATCATCCTGTGCTAAACCTGCAGAGAAAGCCCCCCCCCCCCCAAACCCCTACCTGATTTTCACAAGGGACCTGCTCCCTCCCACCCACCGCCCGGCCATCGTGCCCCCCCCTGCAGTCTGTTCTCCCCCCCCCTTCGCCCCCTCCCCACATGAAGGCCCCCGTGCGCTCACCATTTCACCGGCTTCCCTCCCATGTTCCAAATTGGGCTCTGCCCCCGTCTCCTGGCCAAGCCTGGGGCTTCACGTGCCACATCCCTCTGCCCTCCTGCCCCCCCTTCTGCGCCGAAGGAGGCTGGGCCGAACGGAGGCAGGAACCTTTGGCCCAGGTGGGTCCAAGATCCGGGCCCAGGTGGGCGAGCAGGAGAGATGCCCAAGTGCCCCGCTGCTTCTTCCGCTTCTTCTCCTTCTCCTCCTCCTTCTCCTTTTGGGGGGAAAACAGCCTCCCTGGGGCGGCTGGTGGTGTTTCTCAGCTCAGCTGGGACGTTGTGTTGTTTTGCATTTTGTTTTCCAAATTCCGTCGGGCAGGAGAGCGAGAGAGCAAGCCGGCCGCCTGCGTCCCCTTCTCATCCCATCCCGGACAGCCTGAGTCCCTTCTCGGAAGACCCCAAATGCAGACGGAGGATCGAGGCCCCGGTTGGGTCGCGTGGGGTGAGACAGGGAGCCAGCCCCTCCCCCCTCCACTCCCGAGGTGGGAATGCACACACCCGCAAGTCTCTCTGTGTGTGTGTGTGTGTCTGTGCACACACACGTATGTGTGTGTTGCTCTCTCCCCGCAGCTCTGCTGTCACTGGGGCTGTGCGAGGAGGCAGCCGCGTTTGAGTTGTCTAAGCCGTGGACGATGGAGGGGAGGGGAGGGGAGGGGAGGGAGGGGAGAAGGGAGGGAGCTGCCTGGGAAAAACAGCAGGATTTGGCCAGGGCTGCTGTGAGTCACTCACGACCGCTGCCTCCCCTTCCCTGGGAGGTTAACGGCAGGAAAACATGCACAAGCCGCCCTGTGGAATAGCAGGGTGGGGAGGGATACCCTGGGTGTGCATGTCGTCCCCCCCCACTTCATCGTGTCCCTGAGATGCAAAGGATTTTTGCTGTGTGTGTGTGTGTGTGTGTGTGTGTGTGTGTGTGTGTGGTTCAAAGCCCCTGCACCGCACAAAACAGACAGAGCTCCTTCTGCATTTCGGAGCCGCCCTTCCCAGCCGTTCCTTGGCCAGAGTTGGGCTTATCTTCTCCTTGTGGGGGGGGGAAGAGAAAGATGGGGACCGTTTGGGAGACCAGGGAGCATGGTGGCTGCCTTTTGCAGACACACACACACACATACACACCGACCTGTTGTGTTATAGAGCGACCCACACCGCAGGCGAATGCAATGCCACCGCTGCCGCCGTTGGAAAACCCTGGCCGATGCTCGGAAGCAAAGCAGCCTCGGGGGCAGAAAGGGGCTTTGCAGTCCTCCCTCCCCACCCCAGACATCCCCTTAATCCTCCCTGAGAGTGGAGGGGGGGGGGCTTCCCCCAAGCCAGTCAAAGCCCCCCCCATGTCCTGCAGCTGGATAGAGCTCTGGGCTGGGAGGCAGGAAATGCGCTGCATCTGGCAGTGATGCTAATTCTCCTTATTCAGCACTGACAACTGCCTTCCCTGGTCATTGCTAAGGTACCCAACACACACACACACACACACACACACACACACACCCAAAATACCAAAGAGAAACAGTTGGACCAGACTGAGAGAAATGCCACGGCCTCTCAAGGCGAAAGGAGGGGCGAAGAAAGGCAGCCCGAAGAGACCTCGATCCGGCCATCCAAAAGATTTTATGATGATTGACATTAGGAGGAGGAGGAGGAGGAGGAGGAGGAGGAGGAGGAGGACGACGACTGTGGGGTCCTTGGTGCTCTCTGAGCTTGGTGATGTTTTGCAGACATTTCATGACCCAACTATGTAACTTCAACAGTACTAGGAAGGAATGGGGTGTGCAGGGAGGAGGAGGAGGAGGAGGAGGAGGTGGAGGAGATTGGATAACCGCTTGTCTGAAGTGGTGCAGGGTTTGCTGCCTAAGCAGGGGGTTGGACTAGAAGACCTCCAAGGTCCCTTCCAACTCTGTTATTCTAGTCTATTCGGATAGCAAGAAACGTCCCTGGGATGCTGGCCGGGTGGGTTCCGGAGGGAAACCGAGGAAGGCAGGAGCTGCCAATTAGAGCAACCGAGCGGCCGGTGGGGGGCAAATTGTCATTATCCAACCTGGATGGGAGCCAGGCTGGGGGGGGGGGAGGCTGGACCCCTCCCTTTAATGGCCATGAAATGCAGCGTGGCCTGTTTGAATGAGCTCCTGTGCAGGGAACAGCCTCTCGGGCTCCTCTGAAGAGGGGAAGCTGTCAAGGCAGCCTCTCTTTAACCCAGGGCTCCTAAATGAACGGAGGCAGGAACCGGGCCAGGCTAGTCTAGGGAAGAGAAGGACCAGGGGAGACAGGAGGGCAGCCTTCCAGTATCCGAGGGGCTGCCCCAGAGAGGAGGAGGAAGGGGGTCAAGCTATTCTCCAAAGCCCCCAAAGGCCAGACAAGGAATAATGCATGGAAAGTGAAGAAGGAGAAATTCAACCTGGAAATAAGGAGGAATTTTCTGACCGTGAGAGCCATCAACCCATGGAACGGACGTTGCCTTCAGAGGCTGTGGGAGCTTCATCCCTGGAGGCTTTCAAGGAGAGACCGGACTGCCATTTATCAGAAATGGGGTAGGGTCTCCTGCTTGGATGGGGGGGGGGTTGGACTAGATGACCTACAAGGTCCCTTCTATGAAGACCTGGAGCAAAACACAAGTGTTTTTGGCAAAGCAGCCCCAGACCCCTGAGGGGGAAGGTTATTTGCCTGCCTTTACGGAGTGCCCGACTTATTTCCAGCCTGGCCATGAACCGAGAAGCTGAGATGGTCAGGCTGCGCTAGAAAAGATCATCCTTCTTTTGCACAGGTGTTAATCCACTTGATCTCCCAGGAGATTGTCAAGGATAACCACCTTAAATGTGCCGTCCATTTACAAACCCCTACACTCCCCCTTCTTTAGGTAAGGGCTAGTCAAGAGGCAAAGTACCAACAGAAGAAAATAGCTGTAGCTCGGGATTGACTAGTGGGCTCCTTGGCGCTCTGTGAAACTTCAAAAATTTTTTTGCAGACGTTTCACAACCCAACTAGGTAACATTATCAGTGCTGGAAGGGAGGGAGATTTCTGGAGAGGAGGAGAAGGAGGGGGAGGAGGAGGAGGAAGAGGAGGAGAAGGAATATGGGATCTTTGAGCTTGGCTGTTTTCTTTTTCTTTTTTTCTTTTTTTTCTTTTTTTTCTTTTTTTTATTAATTTTTATTCTAGAAAAAACATTTATTTGACATACATTTAAAACAGACAAATGTGTGTGTGTGTGTGTGTGTGTGCATGGTATTCAGCTTTGTTCGGGTATTTTCCCACGTCATTATAGTTGTGCTTTTAAAGTTGTAGCAACGTTTCGGCAGAATCTCATCTGCCATCATCAGGCTTCTGTATTGAAACATTGCTACAACTTTAAAAGCACAACTATAATGATGTGGGAAAATACCCGAACAAAGCTGAATACCATACATGTAAGTACCCGCGAAAACTTAACACACACACACACACACACACATATATATATACACACATACACACACATATATATACATTTTACAGCATGTATTGAGCAATGGTTAATTTTTTTTTCTTTATGTTTATCATTGACGTGATCTGCCTTGTTACAATAACTCTTTCGTTCTTTTAATGTTTTAATTTCTCTATATAGTTTGTGATTAAATGTCTTCTGTCTTTTCCATAACTTATCCAAGTTAATGCTTAGCTGTTTTCTTGCAGATGTTTCATGACCCAACTAGGTAACATTATCAGAGCTAGAAGGGAATGTGGGGTTTGCAGATAGGAGGAGGGAGGGAGGGAGGGAGGAGGACAGGGGGAGGAGGAGGAGGACAACGACAACGACAACTGTGGGGTCTTTGAGCTTGGTTGTTTTCTTACAGATGTTTCATGACCCAACTAGGTAACATCATCCGTGCTAGAAGGGAATGGGGGGGGGTTGTTCTCCGTTTCTATACCGTGTCTTGCCCTGCCCTTGTTGTTGGGAGCGTTTAAGCAAAGTCTCAAATATTCCTTTTTCCCCCTGCCATGAAGAAGGTGGACGGACCTGAAACCACCTTGTTCTTCCCCAGCTGCATCTCAAAGAAATATGGATCTGGTCCCCAAACGTTGCAATTACCCCCGCTGGCTTTCTCAATGGTCGTGCACACACTTCCTCCACGCCCTTATCTCTCAGGATCAGTAGCAATATTTGTGCGTCCTAAGTGAGAGGAGAAAGCGGGAACCTCCACCTCTCCAGCGACAACACAGGGCGCAGAAGCAGGATACCGAGTTTCATCTGGGCACCACATACTGGTAGCTACAGCTGAGGGACAGGCAGGGGGCAACAGTGATAGCTGGGGTTTTCTAGCCAAAGCACAATACTTTCTCCTGGGAACCAAGGGCATTCCTCCCACAGGTGGCCAGAGAGAGAAGAGGAGTGAAAATACCAGGCAACTGGACCGGGGAGGGGGGGGTGATTCATCCGGTGTAACAACTGGTTCGGTGAGCGTACCCGCAGAAGGTTTGCTACTGACCTCCTCCTGCAATCCTGCACTCTCCCTGTTAAACAGCTGACAAGTGGCAATCAGAAATAAAGGCCAATAGAGAGCTGGGGCCCATCAGCCGATCGTCAGAGCAAACCGGTTTGCTCACAGATTATCCTCAGAGCTACCAGTTCAGCCGAACCGGGCCGAACCAGTAGAAGACCACCCCCTGAACCAGACGGCACCACGATTGGACCATGTGACTGACTGTTTGGGGAAAGGGATAAACTTTTACTTTTCATTAGGTGAAAACCGCGGGAACCTTCAGAGTCGGTTTTCGCGCCAGCCTGTGCCAATATGTCCAATAGAGCCCTGCACACCAGAACAAGTGGACACAAGAAGAGTTTTTTTCCCGAATGCCATCACTCTGCTAAACAATTCCCTCAACATTTGATCATGTTTATTTTCAGTCATAATATACACTGAAAATGGTATTTAATTTCTTTGTACGAGGTGCAATGACAATAAAGTAAACATTGTCAAACTGTCTGCATTACTATTACTATTAATCCTCCCATTCTCTCTTTCACCCATCTACTCCCACTTATGACCGTAACTATGTTGCTTGTATCTAATGATTTTTATTGACTGTTTCCTAGTATAATTTTTTTTAAATAAGCATTACTATTAATCTTCCCTTCCTTTCACCCATCCCCTCCCACTTATGACTATATGACTGTAACTTTGTTGCTTGTATCCTAACGATCTTACTGATTGTGTCCTAGTATGATTTGATTGCCTATAGTAACCTATGACTATCCCTTTGTATCTTAGAGCAATAGCACTTAGACGTATGATTCTTGATGAATGTGTTTAATTTTTTCTTATGTACACTGAGAACTTATGTACCAAAGACAAATTCCTTGTGTGTCCAATCACACTTGGCCAATAAAGAATT